TAAGTCCACACACAAATCTTTTCACAGATACAAAGCTGATTTACAAGTACAAAATATTTATGACCACATTTTGAGCCCATACTACTTCCCTCTAATGTCCGAGTCTCCGTGCGCTCGGTGTAACAGCCTTATTGAGCAAAGAGTTCATTTATTCCACAGGTCAATGTTTGACTTTAACTAGACTGCAAGCATGAATTTTACATGAATAAAAATTCCCGTTACCACTGATTAAAGAGGTTATAAATCCATCTTTATTTAAATTACATGAGTTAACAAAAAATTTAGGACACAGTTGATGTTATAATCGATCTCCATTCATCCACGCATGTGACTGAGACTGATGATCACTAATAAACAGAGTGAACACTGCGTGGATATGATCAGCAACAATCCACATGCCTGGCTTTAATTTCCTGTTCAGGAGGAGACGTTAGCGACCGTCCGTCACAGCGAGCCTTGTGCTGTGCAGCAGATATGACACAAGTTTGAAAATCCTGTAAACGGCTGACGGCGTCACTAACTCAAAGCAAACACGTGAAATGATGAAGAAATATTTACAAATGACAAACTCAAATATTAATGTTTGAATGCACACAGGCAGGAAAAAAGACGCTAAGTGCCTCTGAGAGTAAGTAAACCGACGTATACAAAGGTTATATTTCACTAAAACAGAAGAATAAATAGACATTTTGTTCTGAAGATTTTTGAGGTGAGAATGTTTGAGTGAAACTGAGTATTAAAATCATGTCCACACACACCTTTGTGAAAATATATAACAGCATAAACTGAAACATTACAGCTTAGACACAAAAATAGTATCACAGTTATTTCAGCACACACAGCATTATGTAGTCCGACCCACACTACACTGATGTGCTACAGATTTAAGCCAACTACTTTTATGTCCTTATAGCTCAGTAGAGCCATACCTAGGCTAAATTATTAATAATAATAATAATGTGGAATTAAAAAACCTTTAAGACTCACTGAGCAGCAAACCTATTTATGCCCATTCAGCCATATCTGAATCTGCTAGTTCATTCCTGTTTTCCCTTTATATGGCTTTGCACACGATTTAGAAGCTGAGCTTGTGGTTCAGGGAGAAAATTAGCACCTGCAATCCCAGATAATCATACACATTTATCATCCCTTCCTCTCTGAGGCATCAACGTGCCCGTTATTTAAACAAACAGGACGAACTGCAGTCTGGGCTCCTTACTGTCGTTCAGCCCATTACAGTCTTTCAAGTGTACTCTGTGTCAGTGGGAGTCCTCTCTCAGAGCGGAGCGCACCCTGGTCCCCAGCTGGTCGGCCGTCGGCCGGGCGTCCGGGTTTGAGGCGAGCATCTCTGAAAGCAGGGCGCACGTGGCAGGGCCGGGAGGGGGCGGCAACGGGGGCGCTCTCTTAAACTTCGTCGGGATGCACAGCTGGAGCTCTGCATTCTCCCACAGAGCCTCTCCCAGCGGCATCAGCCAGCCTGAGCGTCCCTTGCACACGTAGGCGCCTGAAGGGGAAACGGGGAGGAAGACGGGTAGGTTAGACACGGCAGAGCGCCTCAGACCTCGGTGACTTTGAGAAGCTGGCGTGGAATATTGCCAGGAATTACTAACAGGGTGTGCAAGATGTTCAGAGCACGACGAGACACACTTTATCAATGAGTCATTCATGGACTAATCAGAAACAACATAATTACAATTAAATGACAAGGAAAAACGTGGAACACAAAAATGTTTAAATTAAATTGATGCTGGGATTTTCTTAGCTCTCATAAATTGCTCTCTTTGTGGAGACTATTTGTGGATGGCTCAGTGAAACTATTTCCCTTCTATGTGTCTGCATGTGGCAGACTGTTAGTATGAATGTGATAAAAAGCTTGTGTGACATTTCTTATGTATGGGTCCTTTACAAAGAAAATAGAGATTCAATAAGAGCTCAGGGCCAGCATTACTCCTTCACAGGAACAATCCATCAAGCATCACATGATGAACTGAGGGCTCTGATTGGCCCTGTGAGGCAGCATCAAGTGTAATCAGTCTGGCTTAGAGTGCTACGGCGTAAGAGTCGGATCATTATTAGCAAAGATGAGATGAAGTTCAGGCACCGGGCCCTACTCCAAGGTTTAGCTAACATGAGCCCGAGATGACGGGAACCCGTAAAGGTTCTAGCTCTGACTCCACGGACAGTAATCCTGTCACACGTCAGTTTGCTTGGATGCAAACACTTCCTGCACCTCACTTTAACAATAACTGTTTACATTAAAAAAGATTTAGACACACTGATGGTGAAACGAGTGTTTTCATGTTTAAATGTGTTCACAGACTGTGATTTGGTCACTACATGATGTCAACACTTTGAAAGGTGTTCAGTATATTTCAGCCCGACCTGTCCACAGGTGTCATAGGCATCTACTGCGCTATCATTACATACAAGTGTATGTGCTTGCTTCTGTAGGCTGAACATGATCCTAACCCATGAGCAGAAATAACTTCCTGCCTCTGATCTTCAGAATCAAAGTTGAAATATTTGAGCTTCTTTTCTTCCTTTTGCACCAGAAGATTTTGATAAGTGTAATCAAGAAACCATAAGATAAAACTGTGAACTCACTTGAACTGGTCATTCGTCATCATTAGACATAAGACAACTACATTATTAACAGAAAAATGAGATTAATGGAGGGAAACTAATAAAGCCACATCACTGAAACACATGTGCTGCAAAAATTTAAAAAAGTCATTTGAAAAGCATCGGTTGGTACTTTAGCTCAACACCAGGTTTTTGAGGTAGTGTGACCAAAATCACAGAGCTAAGGTGACACATTGTTCATAAAAGCCTGAGGTCAACACTGAAGTCTGAGTAACGCTGGCCCGAGTCAGAGCCCAGCAAATCATTGCCTAACCTGACTGAGCAAAACGCCATGAAGGCTTTCCAGGCCTAAAGCACAGGAGGCTGAGTCTGGCTTTTCTGTGATTGGCTCCTCTCCGCTCCCCTGGATCGTTGTGTAAGCATGTGGGCGTGCACATCCTCAGACACGCTAAAGTTAAATAATGGAGCGTTCTTTCTACCTTTGAAACACCTTCAGTTGAATCTCTCTGTTTTCTCTTTGTGATAGCTGAGCTTCTAAACTCTACTTTTTTTATTAAAGGGAAAAATGATCCACTCACACGACTCTCCAATTGTAAGCATCTTCTTTCAGGATAAGCATCAACGACTCAGGGAAGTTCTCGGGCACTAAACTGGGGATAATGCTTCACATCGCCCCGCTGCTCGGTCTCCTCTGAGCAGAATCGGGTTTGTGCGAACAAAATGAGACGTCGGTGTTGCAGCCATTTCATTACTCTCTGAGAGCAGAGCAGAACAGCGCTCTGCGTTATTGTACGTCGAGACGCTGCACCATCCGACGGCCACGGATTCTGACATCTTTCAAGAAAAGAAATTAAAATCTCACTGCGGAGCTCCAGTGCATGGCTCGGTGCCCTCCTCTGCTCGAATCGAACTGCCAACAACTTTGGAGACGTTATACTTCCAATGCCACGGCATCAGAGTTTGATGACAATGCTGACGTACGAGAAGGACAAATTATGTTGTCATACACAAATACCAACTCATCTGCCACTTAGGAAAATATAGGCAATCGTCTTTAAAGCTGTAGCAACAGACTGAGGACTCATTCGTGTAAAACTTGGAACCACCGACTGAGCTGCTGCCGACCACAAAACCTCTCAGATCAGAGATTGTCAGATGCAATTAGGAAGCAGTGTGTAACACAGGTACTCGTAGCTACGCACCGTCATGTCATTAGCACGGAAACACTTCACGTGAATGAAGAAAAACACGTTTCTACAAACCTAACTAGACACTCGGCTGCGTGTTAACCCAGCCGCCCCAACCTTTGTTGCTCCACGAACAGTTTAATGTCAGACAGTATTTTCACGGACCGGCCTTTAAGGTGTGGCGGATAAATACAACAAAATAAAAGGATACGGCCGAGACAAAAACTGTGCTATTTTGTAAATATAATAATAAACGCGAATTCACTGTGTAACTGTAACTTTATAACAAAATTGCGGATGTGTGGTGGTGCAGACGTAGCTCCGACTTTCAAACGGTCACGATTAAAACCAGAGATATATAAAACAACTGATGGAAGGGTAATTGTAGAGGATGAACTACTTAATTTCCTTGCTGTAAAAATCAAAACTTTAAGTCAGGATGAAATTGTGTTGTTGGCCACGAACACATTTGAATCCGAGCAGATTGAAGCCTCCAGGAAAGTTTTGTTTGAGCTCTGCCCCACTACCTCACAGCGGTGCGTTGGATATAAAGGACAGCATACAGACGCCAACAATATTAAGCTCTGTCTTAAAGTGCTGAATGAGTGTGGGGAGAATATCCCAAGATTTCTCTCTCATCACCTGGATGATTTGCCGCCTGTTACATACTCCAGCATGGATGTGTTTCTACTACGGCGAATGGACCAGCTGTGTGCTGAGGTGGGTGCTTTAAAACATGTAGTTAAACTACAGGCGGATGTCTGCGAGCAAGTTATGACCAATGCTGTGGAGGTCGACCAACGTGTGACTGTTCTTGAGTGTCGGCCCGAGGTACCGGCTGAGCCTGTTACGCTGAATGCTCAGGGGCCGGAGACCGCTTCCCACTTTCCCCTGGGGAAAAACGCAGAGGAGCGGTGGGGGAATCGAAGTAAAGGCGGCCCGCGCGGAAGGCAGGGAGCCGGAGCTTTGGCTGCTTCAAGGACTGGGACAAGCACAGTTTCAGCGTTTTGTCCAGAGACATTGATATGTGGTCAAGATCGGGCTCCGACGACAGCCTCAGGTCGTAATATGGAAACTACAGCAACAACGGAGGATCCCGTTGAGACAGTGCTTTCTACATGCTCCCCACAATGGAGTAAAGTTGTGAAAAATGGCAAGCCTCGTCACAAGCTGGAGAAGGTTAATTCGGGTTCAGGAATGCATGCTGCTACCACTGGACACAATAAGAGGCCTGGACCTGTATCGATTATCGGCCCTGGAGCTGTGAGTACAATCAGAACTGTGAAAACTAAATTGGTGAGCGTGTTTGCCACTAAATTTGCCCTGGATGTAGATGCAGAAACTCTTGCTCTGTATTTGAGAGAGAAACTCAAAAGAGATGTGACCTGTCAAAAAATTGCTAGTAAACGTAGCAGGTTTGGCTCTTTCAAGGTTACTGCTGAATGTAATGATGTGGGTGAATTGTACAATCCTGAACTCTGGCCTGAAGGGGCTCTGGTCCGGCGTTTTTATGAACCTCGTAAGCCCAGTATGGTGGTGCCAAGCTCAGTGGATCCAGCAGGGGAGATACTGCACCTTCTGGTACCAACGTATCAACATGAAGATGTCTATCCGGGTATTATCTTACAACTGTCGTGGTCTACGTTTGGGACAGAGTGCAGGGGATAAAGCTTGACGGATTGTTGTGGACAGTCTGCTTGCAGAATGTGACATTTTATGCTTGCAGGAGACATGGTTGTCCAAACAGGACCTGGGAAAAGTTAACTGTCTAAATGCAAGTTTTTTGGGAGTGGGGGAATCAATAACTGATCTCAGCACAGCCATAGTCAGAGGCAGAATACCTGGAGGGGTTGCTGTGCTTTGGGACAAAAAAATAGACCCTGTGATAAAGCCTGTTAGACTGGATGTAGACTGGTGTATACAATATACACAGAACAATAGTAGTTTTATCATTCTTAATATTTATACTCCCTATGAATCTTGTCAAAATGAGCAAGAATACCTCAGTAGGCTGGCTTTTATTAATGCATTTATTCAAGACAACGATACTTACAGCATATATGTTTTGGGTGATTTTAATGCTGATCTCACAGACAGCAGTTCTCAGTTTGCTGACCACTTAACCCACTTTTGTGAAGTTAATAATCTTATCCTGTCTACCAAAGTGTTACTGCCTGCAGACAGCTATACATACATAAGTGAAGCCTGGCATAGTACATCATGGCTGGACCACCGTATCTGTACAGCTGATGGACATGCAGCTTTAGCAAACATGACCATTAGGTATGAGGTAACTGTGTCAGATCTTACACTTTTGGTTTTACTGTGAATGTGGAACAAATGCCAGCAACAACTGGAAATAACATTGCTACCAGTGTAAAATTAGACTGGTCAGCATGTAGTGAAGATGATTTCTTAGCTTATCATAGTAATACCGATATACATCTGAACAACATTTCTTTGCCCAAAGAAGCTATTTTGTGCAAGGATGTCAACTGTAAGAATGCTGTGCATAAACATTTACTCTGCTCCGTGTATGATGATATAGTGACTGCTCTGCATGAAAGTGGT